CCATGATGGCTGGGGAATTCTGGGAGTTGAAGGCCACACATGTTAAATGAGACATACTGGTTTAAGAGTGTTGTCTTAGGTGCAAGCGATCAGATCCACAGCTGTGGGGTTCAAGTCAGGGGTGAAATGCTACCGGTTCGGACCCGTTAGCCTGAAGCGGTAGCACAAAATGCTACCGGTTCGGACCCGTTAGCCTGAAGCGGTAGTACAAAATGCTACCGGTTCGGGTGAACCAGTAGCTCCCATGATCAGCGGTGCGACAATCAGTTCTGCCGCCTGAAATCACATAAAAACTACTACCGGTTTTGCCAAACCGAGCCGAACCTCGTTTTCTCAAAATATTAGTTTTGTCACAATCTGACGTAGATAATTTCCCATGGAACTTAGAGGGGGTCGGTTCTGGATCTTTTGTGACTGTGCCCCACTTGATACCCCCCCTCCCTGTCTGTTTCACATCTTGTGCCAAAATCTGTTTTTATTTTGCAGACTCTACAGAGCCTGAGCCGGCTGTGTCCCCTGTTCTGCCGCGGAAGGAACGGACTGCAGCCGACTGGAGTTTAAACGAAGACGACCGTTTGATCCCCAAGGACAAAAAGACCAATCTTTTTAGCGCTCTGATCAAGAAGAAAAAGAAAACGGCGCCCACCCCTCCGAAGCGGAGTAGTTCCTTCCGGGAAGCGGAGGTGCACCTGGAGCATAGAGGAGGAGGAGGAGGAGGAGGGGGGGAGGACGAGACCAAAGAGAGCAACAACGGCGGTTTGCTCACACACCCTGCTGATCCAGAGGACCGTTCCCGGTTCCCCAACCCCAGCAATGAGGCTGCCGGCGTTGCCAATGGGACTGGGAGCTCCAGTCTTTTGACGCCAAATGTTTGGAAGAAATCGTGGTCCTCGGCCAATAATCGCCCGGGTCCCAACGAAGAGGATGGCAGCTCGATCTCCAGCAAGCGCTTCCTGCGTTCCTGCTCTGCCTCTTCCGTTCCCCACGGGGCCAGGGACGCCGAGTGGAAGTCGGTCACCCTCCCTCGGAACCCGCAGTCCGTGGGGCACCAGTTTGACTCCTCCACCTTTGGGGGCCACAAGAGCGAAAAGCCCGCCCTGCCTCGGAAGCGAGCCAGTGAGGTAAAAGCTGACCTGGCCAGCAGGGGGATGGTCACCTCGGGTCCTCGGCTGCTGAAGAAGAACGAGGAGACACTGGAAGAGAGTTCCAAAGAGGCCGAGTGTACCCCGGGCTCCAGCCCGCCCAGCCTTACCCCTAAGCTCACCCGGAGGCAGCCTTTGCTTCCTTCTGCTTCCGGGGGTCCATTGGTGGAGCAGACCACGGTAGGCAAAGCTCCCCTGGGCATCTTTGCTGGCAAAGCCCTGGCCGAGGAGTCCCGTCTACGAAAGATGAAGCCAGAGAAGGAAAAAGGGAAGCTGTCGAAGCTCAAACTTGCCCCACCTCCTCCGGCCTTGAACTTGGGTAAAAATGGCAAGGGGGGTCCTGGGCCAAGCCACGAAGGGCCAGAAGGGTCCCTGGCCAAGAGCAAGCTGACAGTCGTGGCTGCGGAGCCCATCAGCGCTGAGACCCCCAAGTCCGGGTTGTCCACCGAGGGAAGCAAAAAGCCACTGATGTCCTCCGTACCAAAGTCCCCCTCCGCCAAACTGCTCTTCGGTTCCCCTTCTCCATCGCCCCCCACCGTCTCGTCTGCTCTGGCTGCAGACCAACCTCTCTCCACGGCCTTCATCCCCCTCATTTCCACCCGCGTGTCCCTGAGGAAGACCCGCCAACCTCCCGAGAAGATAGCGAGCGGCACCGTCACAAAGGGGACGGTCCTGGAAAGCTCTGATGCCCTGCGGACCGCCATCAACAAGAACTCAGAGCAGATGGTCAGCCACAGTGCCGTCCTGGAAGCGGGCAAGAACCTGTACACCTTCTGCGCCAGCTACGTGGACTCGATCCAGCAGATGCGGAATAAGTTTGCGTTCCGAGAGGCCATCAACAAACTGGAGAACAGCCTCCGGGAGCTTCAGATCTGCCCTGCCACGGTTGGCGGAGGTCCAACCACCACCCCGGATTTTAGCAAATTGCTCGGCTCGGTCAAAGAAATCAGCGATATCGTCCAGAGGTAGCAGAAGTGGGGAGATCATCAGTGGCCCACATTAGATGGTGCCGACCCAAGACATTGTTGATTTCTGGGACAAAACAATGGGACCTCACACCTCAGAGAGACAACACACAAACGTAGCCACATGGACTGTATCTTAGTTGTCCTCTGGGGTTGTCCAAGACCGTCAACTTTGAGCCTTCCGTTGCTTGAATGGCTCTCACCCTCAGGATATGCTCATCCATTGCTCCTCACAACCACCTTGTCAAACAAGAACCCCCCTCCCCGTACACCTGCCCACCCTCCCCGTATCCATCTTTCTCACCTGCAATTTCCCTCGGGTTTCCTTCTTAACTCGGGGACCCCCAAATCCTGTGAAGCTTAATTGGTCGTAGTGTCACATCCTTTGGGACGCTCTAACAAATGCTTTGCTTGCTCTCGGTGTGAGCTTTGCGTTGAAATGGGGGGGGCTGTGGGACACCCCTTGTCTCGGCCAAATGGACGGCAGGTTGCTTCCCTTGGCCCTCTTGGCACCTGGTCCGGTGCGGAAGAGCAGGCTCACGTGTGAAGGTTCAATTAAGCTACTCTATTGCCAAAAGCCCACGCACAGGAATCATCTCGGCTAGGCGCCTGCTAGGCGTTCGATAAGGGTCAACGGAACCCAAGGGATGTTGGACTTAGTGCATGGGGATTCTAGGCTTCTGTCTCTTTTCACGCCACCCCCCTTGGGGTTCTGCCACTCCTTCTCCACACAGGGCTGCGTTCACACACCCCATTTTCTATCTCTAAGAGCCGAGGTGGCGCAGTGGTTAGGGTGCAGNGCTACTTCCTTCTCCTGCAACGCCACGAGAGAAGAGCTGTGGAAGTAGAAGTGCCATTCTCAATTATCACACTATCTGACGGTGAATTTAATCACTGTCGTGGAGGTACCTGGCCTCCCAGGCATACATAAAGACCGAGGGCTCCGCTTGGTCTCCGCTTCAGAAGCTGGGGGGCTTCTAGCAGATTCACAAGCATCCATCTGTTATTCTTTGTACTGAACATCTGTCAGCCGTATGTATACATGTGTACTGTATGTATACACCAACATGCTTGGTCACCACAGGGGATCCCACATTCTGAGAGGCGAGCAAACAATTGGGGTGGCTTTTACTACAGCTAGCTCAGAAACCAAGCCAAGCTCTCTAGGAGCATGGATGATGTTACCTAGTTTGGTAATGAAAGGTTTACAAGAAAACCACAAAGCTCAGAGGGCACCAAGGACCCCACAGTCCTCCTCTTCCTCTTCCTCCTCCTCCTCCTCCTCCTCCTCCTTGCTAATGAAAGATTTGCAAGAAAATCATCAACCTCAGAGTCCATCAAGAATTGTAGTCACAAGTCAAGGACTCCCTACATACAGTGATAATGGCTTAAAGTTCAGGCAGAGAAGAGAAGAAGAGAATAGGAAGGGAACTTGGAGGTCTTCTAGTCCAGCCCCCTGCTCAAGCAGGCAAAGCTATACCATCTCAGACAAGTGACTGTCCAGTCTCTTCTTAAAAACCTTGGATGAAGCGCCCACAATTTCTGGTGGCAAGCGGTTCCACTTGTTAATTGTCTGCACTGTTAGGAATTTCCTCCTCAATCCCAGGTTGCTCCTGTCCTTGATGAGTTTCCATCTGTTGTTTCTTGTCCTGCCTTCAGGTGCTTTGGGAAATAAGTTGACCCCCCCTTCTTCTTTGGGGCAGCCCCTCAAATACTGGGAGGCTGCTGTCGTGTCTCCTTTTCTGGCTAAACCCAAAACCTGCCGCCATTCTTCATATGTTTTAGCCTCCAGGCCTCTGATCATCTCAGTTGCTCTTCTCTGCCCTGGTTCCAAAGGCTCAAACTTTTTCTTTTGGTGCTATGGTGACTACAGTTCTCCAACAATACTGGAATGGCACCTTTAAAAACAACAACAACTGGGTAACAACCTTAAAATTAAATAGAAAATAAATCATCAGGAGACCCGTGGAGCATCTGCGCTCCGAGAAGGAAGGAAGCCCACTCTTCCCCAACAGAGTTCAGTTTTCAATCCTGCCCAAGTAAATAAGCAGAAAAGGAGAAAGGGGGGGGGGGGAGACAGGGAAAATTGGTGGTATCTGTAGGTTTCTTTAGAAATTGCATGGATTTCACTGGGGTTCCTTGCTTGGCTCCGTCTCTGCGTTTCCCGCGTGTGGCCTTCGAGCCGACCCAAGAAAAAAGAAACTTGATAATGAAATGTTGGGGAGGGGGGGAGGAAAGAAGAAGAAGGGGAAAAAATGGGTTTCCACTGATGTGGATTGAGTGGATATTGGGGAAGGGCTTATTTATGTATTTATTTCCACTCCACCACGTGTTCTTTCATGTTTCCCATGCCATCCTTGAGGGGAAAATAAATAAAATCAAAGGAAAAAGCTTCCATCTTATGATCGGCCTTTTTTCCCTCATCCTTGATGGTCTCAGGGTCACAAATTAGGATCGGAGACCAGCGAAGGGGAGAAGGGAACTGGGTAGAGCAATTTCAAAAAGGGAGAAATTTCAAGTTTGCTTTGGTTGCTGTAAAGAAGATAAGAGCTCATTTCATTATTCCTTTCCCTATTTATCCCTCCCTTCTTTCTTCATCCCTTCCCTATTTATCCCTTCCCTTCTTTCTTCATCCCTTCCCTTGTTCCAAAGGTGCTTTTTCAAGAAGCCAACTGGACTTTCTGGAAACAAAAATCGAGTGGCCTCTTGAAAAAGCACCTTTGGGACAACCCTGACCTGGATGACTGAGAATCTCCATAGCCATTTCCCTTCCTTCCCCTTCCCTCTCTTTTCTCTTCCTTTCCCCTTCTTCCTCCTTCTCTCACTCCCCCTTCCCCTCCCCATCCATCCATCCATCCATCCATCCAAGAAAGGAAGGAAGGCAGAGAGGGAGGGAAGGAAAGGAGAAGAAGGAAAGGGAGGAAGGAGAGAGGGGAGGGAGGTATGGAAGGAAGGAAGTTGGTTCTAATGATTGTGCTGGAAATCGCTTTCTTCCACCCAGCAACCAGCTTTGGGGTCTGAGCCCTTCTCCCCCCCCCCCTCTTCTTGTCACAGGAAGACACGATGGAGGTGGAAGAATTCTTGAAGGAGGCCTCCGTCATGAAAGAAGTCAAGCACCCAAATTTGGTCCAATTACTGGGTAAGTGGCAGGAAGGGCCATGGAGACGGAAGCCCCTGCCTGGCACCGGGGTGCGAAAGAGACACGGAGCTGCTCACCACACCTGGAGATGCCTCCTTTCTCTCTCAGGGCCTGGCAATTAATTCCTGAAAAGGGGAGGGGGGGGAAGGGACCCCAGAAGAGGGTCTTTAATTAATTCTCCTGAGGGGGCTTTCGTCCACGGAAGGCCAAAGCTTCGGCGTCTACCCGGGGAGCCTCCTTCTGGGGCCTCCTTGGGAAGTTCTGAGCTTCTGCCTTGGCTTACTCTCCGCCTTGCTCGGCAGGGGTCTGCACGAGGGAGCCCCCCTTCTACATCATCACGGAGTTCATGACCTACGGGAATCTGCTGGATTTCTTGAGGGATTGCAACCGGCAAGAGGTGAACGCGGTGGTCCTCCTCTACATGGCCACCCAGATTTCCTCCGCCATGGAGTATCTGGAGAGGAAGAATTTCATCCACAGGTAGGTAGGACAGAGAATGCCAGCTCCCTTCCCAGGCTGACCCACCAGCCAACTTCCTTCCTTCCTTCCTTCCTTCCTTCCTTCCTTCCTTCCTTCCTTCCTTCCTTCCTTCCTTCCTTCCTTCCTTCCCATAGCATACTATCTGATCCCGCCCTCCCTCCCTTCATCTCCTCTCCCTCTCCCTGGGAGGGTGGGAGCAGATCTCCCCTCCAACAGCAGATTGTGCTAGGGGCCACGGCAGAAAAGGCCCTTCTCCTCAGCCCTGGCAGCCAAACTTCAGCAGGCCCCTTCCTCTGGATCAAGCGTGAACTGCTAAACCCATTCGTTCGTGTGTGTGTGTGTGTGTGTGTGTAGACATAAATGGAAATACCCCAATTGAGGGGTGCCCTGTCCTTTTTGACCCAAAACGAGCCCAATATTTGCGTGCACACACACCTTGCAGCCTCCTAGCGTATCTCCAGAGCCCCTCCTATAGCAATAGCAATAGCAGTTATACCGCTTCATAGGGCTTTCAGCCCTCTCTAAGCGGTTTACAGCCCCCAACAATCCGGGTCCTCATTTCCCCCACCTCGGAAGAATGGAAGGCTGAGTCAATCTTGAGCCAGTAAGATTTGAACCGCTGAACTGCAGATAACAGTCAGCTGAAGTGGCCTGCAGTACTGCATTTAACCACTGCGCCACCTCGGCTCTTACGCCCCCTTGCTCTCCTTCCGGAGGCAACCGGCTGAGCTGCTCGGCCGAGAGGCTTCGCGAAAGCCGGCCTGGCGTCTCGTAAGGGGTTCGTAGCCCTGAAAAAATCTCCCCTGACTCATTTGCCCCCCGTCTCTTGCCCAGCGGAGCCCTTTGTGCTTCCGTAATGAAGGCTGGTGATGAAACCATCTTCCTCATTCTTCCCGGCTCTTTTGTGCGGCCAAAGGGCAGGAGGACGGCCTGCAGGAACGGCCCCCAAATTGCCCGTAATGGCAGCTTCTCCTTATGAAGTTCTTCCTTTCCTCTCTCTCTCCTTCCCTCCCCCTCTCTTATTCTTCTTCCCTGGGTGCCTCTACTTCCTCCAAAGCCCCTTTGTCCATCCTTCACTCACCTTGTCATCCGCTCGGCTTTCACGGTTCCTTATTGTGCGCGCTTTATCTCTCTCTCTCTCTCTCTCTCTTTGTCTGGATTAACCATCTCTGCCGGCAGCCCGTCTGGAGGATTTTGACCTTTCAGTGAGCTGCAATTACAGCCCAGGCTCTGCATTCTTTGTCTGGGGAAATGCTCCCTGATCGGCCTAATAGCAGAGCCTGGCGGGAGGCTCCGTCCACTCTCCCATCAGTGGGGGGGAAGGGGGGGCGGTAAAAGGCTGCTTCTTATGTCGTTCCCCCTCCTGTGAGATAAATGTGGCACTCGGTTCCACAGGAGGGAGGTGGACTTTGAGCCAGGACATTTGTGAGTCTGATGTTCTGAGGAACCCCGCAGCTCTGGAGCCCACGGAGTGCAGAGAGCTGAGCGGGACCTTGGAGGTCTTCTAGTGCCAGTGTTTTTCAACCTTGGCAACTTGAAGATGTTTGGACTTCAACTCCCAGAATTCCCCAGC